GGAGAGCCTGAGGTGCAGCCACAACTTAGCCCAGCACAGCCGAGAAGCGAAGGCCTTCAGAGCAGACATCCGCGTCCCGTACGAGTTCTTCCTCGAATTCGTTGAGATGGTTCGTCCTGTGTTCCCTGCAAGGGAACACGACGTCTCNAAGAGCCACCACGAGTGGTGGGATGACCCCGACGATGACGGCTGGAGTGCAGAAGCCATCTCCACCCGTGAAAGTCGTCCACGCCCGGACTACAACAAGTCGGCTTGGGGCTTTCGATTGGCGCAGATGGAGAGCCTGAGGTGCAGCCACAACTTAGCCCAGCACAGCCGAGAAGCGAAGGCCTTCAGAGCAGACATCCGCGTCCCGTACGAGTTCTTCCTCGAGTTCGTTGAGATGGTTCGTCCTGTGTTCCCTGCAAGGGAACACGACGTCTCCGGGCGCCTGTGCGTCCCCTTGGAACTGAAGGTGTGTGCTGTNCGCCTGTGTGTCCCCTTGGAACTGAAGGTGTGTGCTGTTGTCCACGATTATTAGCCCTGGCTGTGTTTCAGTGTGTGTGCTTGTTTTGTCGAAGAGGTGGGGGCGCGTGTGAGTGGGTCGGGCAGGTGTTGCAATTGAATTGCACACAGATTCCGTGCGCGCTCGTTATCCTACCACCCGTGAGCACTGAACACACGCCTCGGGTCGAAGTCAATTTACACGACAGCAGCGGCAACTGCGATGCATACGAGGTGCATTGAAAGCAGAGGCTTGTTCCCTTCAGCAGTAAGCGAAGAAGCGCCACGCAGTACTGTGTACTTCGTACNTCCCTTCAGAAGTAAGCGAAGAAGCGCCACGCAGTACTTTGTACTTCGTACTCAACAGCAGTAGTCTTCAGACAGGCGGTAGAAAGATTTGGCCGTCCGCACACAGCGGCGCGCTTGGGGCTGGTGTGCCATTTTTTTTATGCTCGTTTGAGACGTATGTACGACTACACGCAAGCGTCCCCGCATGGTAGTCATTGGCTTGTTACAACTCTGTGTTTAAGAGGCAGGGGGTAGCAGCAGCTCCAACACCCGCTATGCATGTGCAAGTTCCACCAGCAGCCGCGACATCTACCGCACGCATGCGCTCGTTGGATGACACTACCGTGAACAAGAACCTTAGGCGTTTCACACTCACTTGTACCTTTTTCCCACGCACCTCGCCCGATTCCTGTTCAATTTGCAGGTGCTCGGGGTGCTTTGAGTACTAGGGAGAGGGAACTGCTTTGCTGATGTCGCAATCTTCTCCTTGATGAGCCGGACAACGGCGGAGCAGTCGTTTCACCGGTTCTGCCACTGCTTCGCCGCTGGTCTTTGGCGCACCTGGATACGTCTCCCGGAGGGAGAGGATCTCCGACGTGTTGAGAGCACGTACAGATCTCTTGGGTATCCGGGAGCCGTGGGATCAATCGACTGCACCCACGTACCATGGGAGCGCTGTGCGTTTTCGGAGACCACAACCCACAAGGGCAAAGAGGGGTACACGACGGTCGTGTTCGAGGCGATCTGCGACCATGCTGGTCGCATCCTCGCGTCGACGAAGGGGTACCCGGGGGCCGAGAACGACAAGACAGTCGTTCAGCGCGATTTGTCCGTGCGGCGGGTTGAGGGGGAGGAGCCGTGGGTGAGCTACAAGTACGAGATGTACGACGAGACCGGGGACGTGACGGAGCACACGGGGGGATGGCTCATCGCCGAAGGGGGCTACCATCGGGTGAGAGCGCGCAAGTATCATTTGTTGGACGGCAGTGTGTGGGGATGCACATGTGGCACACAATATGCCGCAGTTTGTCTCTGTTGGTTCGTGGTGGGAAGGTGTAGAGCAACACCGCCGTTCCACGTTGCCCGAGCGTGAACAAGTGCATCTCCCGAGCGCAGATCAGTTTAAACGCCGCTCTTGTCTGTTGGGTTTTGGTCGATCTCTGATTTTCGTTGAACGCTCTGTATTGCACAACCTCGCCCTGGAGGCGGTTGGGTGTAGTACAGCAATGCACCTACAACAGCAGTCCGCACGGAACAACGTTTTGTTTCGCAGGTCGGACGTGGACTAATCAAACGATAGAGACCTCTCCCGCTTCAGTAGTGGAGGGNGCGTGAACAAGTGCATCTCCCGAGCGCAGATCAGTTTTAACGCCGCTCTTGTCTGTTGGGTTTTGGTCGATGATCTGTGATTTTCGTTGAACGCTCTGCATTGCACAACCTCGCCCTGGAGGCGGTTGGGTGTAGTAGAGCAATGCACCTACAACAGCAGTCCGCACGGAACAACGTTTTGTTTTGCAGGTCGGACGAGGACTAATCAAACGATAGAGACCTCTCCCGCTTCAGTAGTGGAGGGTTTTTCAATTTTAACCCACGAGCAAATGCACCTGTAGTCACTGAAGATTTGAACGACTGTTACCTTACGGAAAGTACCGCCCCCTGAACCTGCTGTTCATTTCTCCCGATGTTTATCCCCGTGCAACAGGTCCCCCTTCTGATATGCCCGTTCAAGGTGTATGCGAACGTTGCGGAGCAGCAGTGGAGCAAGAGGTTGGAGTCAGTTCGCAAGGACATCGAGTGCTTGTTCGGACGACTCAAGGGGCGGTTCAGGCTCTTCAAGACCGGGATTTTGTTCGGCGACCGGACAAAGATCGACGACGCATGGTTCACCGCTTGCATCATCCACAACATGCTCCTCGCGTTTGATGGGTTGGATCAGCTGGAGGTAGACATGGACTGGGAGGGGAAAGACGGAGAGGCGGACAGCACCACGGGCGTGTTCCCGGCTGTCACGGTTGCTGACAGCGCAGAGGATAAGGTATCCGGGGACGACGACGCCGCATTCCATGCCCACAGGCAATGTCTGGTAGACCACTTCGCGTTCGCG